TTCTCTATTTCGGTGTCTTTGGTTATATTTTGCTTGTTTGTTTGTTTTGTTGTTTAGGTTCCTGTTAAACGTGAGATCATATGGTATTTGTCTTTTATTATCTGGCTTATTTCGCTTAGCATACACTTTCCAGTTCCATACATGCTGTTGCAAAGGGTAGGAGCTCCTTCTTTCTCTCTGTTGCACAGAATTCCATTGTGTAAATGTACCATGGTTTTTGGATCCATTCATTTACTGATGGGCACCTAGGTTGCTTCCAACACTTGGCTATTTTAAATCATGCTGTTATGAACACTGGGGTGCATAGGTTCTTCTGGATTGGTGTTTTAGGGTTCTTAAGATATCATCCTAGCAGTGAAATTGCTGGGTCAAAAGGCAGATCCATTTTTTGTTCTCTGAGAAAATTCCATACTGTTTTCCATAGTGGTTGTATGAATCTTCAATCCCACCAACAGTGCACTAGGGTTCCCTTTTCTCTACAACCTCTTCAACACTTGTTTGTTGCTTTGTTGATGGCCATTCTGACCCATGGGAAGTGGTATCTCATTGTGGTATTATCAAATTAAGTTTTCAATATTTTGCTCTTCCCCTTCTATTTCTCACACCCCTATGATTCGTATCTTGGAACATTTAAAGTTGTCCCAAAGCTTTCTCAGTCTCTCCTCATTTTTTTTGGTATGTAGACTGGCGCTCAATCCACTGAGCCACACCAGCCAGGGCTTTTTTTTTTTTTTTTTTTAAATTCTTGTTTCTTCATTCTGCTCCAGCTGGATGTTTATTTCTTCATTTTGTTTCAAATCCTTGGTCTGAGTCCCCATTTCCTTCCCTTCACTTTTGGTTCAGTGTATATTTTCCTTTATTTCACTTTGCATGGCCCTAATTTCTTCCTTCATTTTGCACCCTAGCTCAATCATTTCTGTGAGCATCCTGATTATCAGTGTTTTGCACCCTGCATCTGATAAGTTGGCTCTCTCCTCGTCCCTTAGTTCTTTTTCTGGAGTTTTGGTTTGTCCTTTCATTTGGGCCATATTTTTTTTTTTGTCTTGGTGCACCTGTTATGTTGTAAAGGACAGAGCCTTAGGTATTTACCAGGGCGGGGCAACTCTTTTGCTGTGTTGTGGCGCTGTCTGTGGGAGAGGGGTGAGAGAGGGAGCAATGCTACTTGCTGGCTCTGGTCTAGCCCTGATTTCCATCACTTCCCTCATTTCCCACAAGCAGATTTTGGCCTTTCAGATGCTGATTTGCAGATGAGTAGATTTGTGCACATTCTAGGACCCTGTGGGCCTCTCCCACAGAATCTCCTGTGATCCTTAAGAGTTTCTCCCACTGCCACAACTTCTGCAGATTTTTACATCGAGAGGTTTTGAGTCTTTAGTTTCCCACGCTGAAACCCTGGATTCCATGGTGTGTCTTGCTTCCCAGTGGTTCTTCCCAGCTCATTGGCCCACGAATGTGGGACCAACTAGTCCACCAGCCACCTCCTTGGCTGTGTGTCCTCTCCATGTTAGCTGCCCATCTCTACCCCTCCTACCAGTCTGGATAAATGTTTCTTTAACTCCTTGGTTGTTGGACTTCTATGAAGTTTGAATATCTGGTAGTTTTGGGTTTGTTTTTGTTTGTTTCAAAATTTACTGTTGACCTTCTTTTGGTGGTGCAAGAAAGTGAAGCATTTTTACCTATGTCTCCATTGTAGCTGGAACTCCTGGACTACCTTCTCCAAATCCTTGGCATATCAATGCATGAGCAGACCTACCTGACCTTGGAATTTTTAATACCTGCAACTAAAGTTTACTTCTCATGTCCAGAAAACACATATTCTCTGGAAGAGAGTTTTTAATAGTATCAAATATTAAATGTAATCTGCCACATTAAATCATACAAAAATAAAAATAAATTAATATAAACATAAGCATTCCCAGAAGAACTTACTTATCTTCTACATTTGAATAGGATGCCTAACCTTTTCACCCAAACCACTCGGATAAACACCAGCATAAGGAAAACATGAATTCCTTAAATTTCCTAATCAGAATTCTTATTAATTCCAAATTTTCTACTATAACACATATAATAATGATTTTTTAAAAGTGAGATGCTTAAGACTAATATTTTCAATAAAAGAAAAGGCCTCTTCTCATTTATATATTCCTTTTGTAGGTAGTAGTTCCTTTTTATTGAGATTTATAGTAATTCATCAGTAAGCTCACTGACAGGATCAAAGATCTGAAAGTTATTTTTAGCTTTTAGAATAAAAAGTTGACTTCACTACTTATCTAACCTTATCCTGTCAGAACCATCCAACCTAGCTCTCCAAAATCAGTCATGCTACAGTCAGCTTCAATTAAAAATGTTTCTTCCACTGGTCCACTAAGTTCAAAGAAGACTTGGCAGATGATTCTAATCTATGTGTAAAAAAGGAAGTTCAGGCAATTATTTAAAAACTGAATAATGGTGGCATGTAGGAAAAGAATGCATAAGCAAAGACAATGTTAAATATTATAGCAGGGCACAAAACTAGAGGTGTTCATTTATTTTTTACTTTTCTCTAAAAACAAATAATAAAAATACAGACTTTGGATTAATGAATTTAAAAATCTTGCCAAAGTATATGAGTTAATACAGAGTGAGCCCAAGGCTAGCTGCCAGCATCCCTAGGAGTCTGTAACTATACATCGGCAGGTAGAAGTTTATTGTGACCTCATGGGTTTGTTTTAACTATCAACAAAGAAAAGCACTGAAAAATCTCCTTACCCAAATATTTGTCAGTATAATTTCTAATTTCAATTATACTGACCAGTGCTTTTACATTTGCCTTCTCAACCCAAAACCTAAAAGCTATACAAATTTCCTGAATCAAGTCAAAATGATTCTAAATCTAAAATCAAGAACCAAGAAAGCATTAAAAAATCCTTAACTTTTGGTCCTTGAGGGGTAGAACAAAACTGTAGAAGAAACAGAGGTCCTTCTTTTAACTTACTACCCTAATCAATAGTCCAAATAACCCAATAATAACATCTGTAGTAGGGTAACAGTGCCCCTGCAAAGACATGTATGTCCTGAGCCCTGGTGCAGCTCAGTGGATTGAGCGCGGGCCTGCAAACCAGACAATCGCGGTTCAAATCCCAGTCAGGGCACATACTGGGTTGCAGGCCGGTTCCCTGTAGGCTAGTTCCCAGCAGGGGATGCACGAAGGCAACCATACATTGATGTTTCTCTCCCTCTCTCCTTCCCTTCCCCTCTACAGATAAAAAAATAAAATCTTAAAAAAAAAAAGACATATATGTCCTAATCCATGGACCTTGTGAATGTGTTCCCAGTATAGTAAGAGGGACTTCTGCAGACATATTAGGTTAAGGATCTTGAGATGGGGAGAAAGCCCTGGATTATTCAGGAGGGCCCAATGTAATCATGAGAGACCTCGCAAGAAAAAAGTAGAAAGATATTAGCTGTGGGAGATGTGACACTGGAAGCAAGAGGTGGAGTGATGTGCGAAACAGCTAAAGCCAAGGAATGCAGAGGCACCTAAGAGCTGCAAAAGCAAAAAGATGGATTCTCCAGAACCTTCAGAATGAACAAGTTCACTAGTACCTTTATTTTAGCCTCATAAGACTCATTTCAGATTTCTGACCTCCAGAATTGTAAGATAATAAATGTGTGTTGTTTGAAGCCACTAAGTTTGTGGTAATTTGTTATAGAAACAGTAGAAAATTACAACAAATAATTATAAAAAACAGTTTGAGATTGCCAACTGTTCTTGCTCCCCACTTCTGTGGGAACTGCTAACATTTACAGAGTTTTGGGAAATACAAATGAGACAGAAAAGCAAAGAAAAAACGTGATTTTATGGAAGATAAGAAAGAATCTATTCCTACACTATATACTGAGCAAGTATAGGGCTCAAAGAGCTTAGAACTCTGTGCGTTTTAAATGAGAGTGCATCTGTCAGCATGGCTTAGATAAATAAAAAGCAAAGATAATGTTCCAAGGGTGTGAAAGTAGAACTTGGAAAGGGAACAGACTTTTCCACGCAAAAGAAACTGACAGAAGGATCACCATCCTGTAAAGGTACACGTAGGTACTTTGATCTATAATATCTGAACTTTCACTTCCTACCCTATTAAAGAGGGAAATATAACCCAATTATCTTCAGAATTGCTTTTCAGTTGGCTTTTTTTAAAAAAAGATTTTATTCATTTATTTTTAGAGGGGAAGGGAAGGAAAGAGGGAGAGAAATATCAATGTATGGTTGCCTCTTGTGAGCCCCCTGCTGGGAACTGGCCTGCAACCCAGGCATGTGCCCTGACTGGGAATCGAATCACGATTGTATTGTTCACGGTCCTGTGCTCAATCCCACTCAGCTACACCATCCAGGGCTTCAATTGGCTTTTTAAGGCAATTATATTTTAGCTATATACTTCAGTACTCTATAATAGAGACTCCCTCCATTTTTACCTGGGAGATGGGAGACATGTAATGCAGTACTAAAATCCATCAGAAAACAAAAACAGTCCCTTTTCTTTAAATGACACCTTTTTTATTTTGTTTTTTCTTTATTTTTATTCATGAGACTATTACAGATGTCCCCTCTGAAAATGGTTAATTTTCATATTTATAGTTTCATATCCGTCACTTCCTAAACTATCATAAAACTGAAGTCTTTAGAATAAGCATGCTCTCCATTAACAGTGCAATAAATCAACCTTCTCAAGTGAAGCTGAGAGGGTATACAATTTTGGCAGTTTTTCTTACTACTTTTTCTATATTTTATTACTTATCAGTTAAAAGGGACCTGTTAACCAAAATAAGAACTTTAAATATCACCCCTTTCCTTCTTTCCTCCCAGCCAATATGTATTTTGAATATTTATCAGTACACACAAAAACCCTTTATTTTGACAATACTTTTCTTCTGAGCAGATAGAAATAGACAATCCCTTGCTTTAAGAACCTTGAAGGAAAGGCTCCTTCATTCTTATTTCACATCCTCAACACACCTCTCACCTGCTATTTTGATATTCAGATTGGCATCCAGAAGCAAATTTTCAGCTTTTAGGTCACGGTGAACAATGTTCCGACAGTGACAAAAAAAGACAGCTGCAACAATCTGTTTGAACTTCCGACGGGCCTCCTTTTCTGCCATTCTGCCATGAGCCACCAGGTGGTCTGCGATGAAGAAGAACACAGTCAGTTCTCATTTTGGACACTAGTATAATTTCAAATGGTAGATGTAAGGAGAGATGCAAGGGGGCCCACCAAATAAATGAGTTAAAACAAGTGAAATAAAAAAATAGAAAACAACACAGTTACAGTCCTGGTTTGTATTTATAAAAAGTCACTAGCAATCAGTGCCCAAATTATTTAAAGTAGAAATCCTGTTATACATACAGGTGCATAGCAATACACTTGCCCTACCACAATAAAAAAAAAAAGAGTTCTGAGGAATATAGTAGGATTTTTCAAAGATTATAACACTTAATGCCTTCCTTCTCATGTCTCCACTGCAAAAGTTTACATACACATAGCAAATACACACTTGAAGTATCAGCAATATTTCCTGTGCTAAAAAAAGGTGAGTCAAAAGCAGAGTCACAATAAACTTAAGACTAATATCTCTTTGTCTTTCTCAAAGTTTTACAATTTTACATAAAAACTTATTTATTTGGTAACTATTCTCTGTAACGCATAATAATATGCCTACATCTTTACATCTGCATTTACTGTGCTTAACAAATATTTTTATAACTTTATTATTAATTTTTACAGATAACATCAACAGAAAACCAAGAGCATTTTCTACTACTTTAAATGGAATAATTTCTGGGGCTATGTTGCTAACTAAGGTATATAGCAAAAGAATTTACATGTTATAAACTCTGTAATACCATGAATCAAGCTATCTTCTATGTTTAAAAGTGACATGATTGACCCATAATCAGTACCATAAGTTCTTTATGTACTTTTTTACTAACAGTGGTAGTAGGTTTATACTGAAGCAATGACATATATATCCTTAATCCAGTCCTTCATATAACCAACAAATTATATACAGGTCACGACACCTAATGGGGTTAGAAATGACGCAATTTTCTTTGTTTGAAATTTCTAATAGTTTCATCAGCACTATCCTTAAACCAGCTGCTCTCGCTGGGAAAAGGACACATTTGCCATCATAAGCATCCTGAGATAGTGGAAAAGTAGAAAATTAGAATACTATAAATAAGTGTATTATTGTTTAACAATAGTTGTTTTAGTAGTACTACCCAACTGCCTTGGTGTCATCTCAATCATCTATAGGACCAGTCAGGTATATCTTTTCTTCATCGCAAAGAGGAAGTCTAGGATAAAACAGATGTCCTGGTAATGACTGCTAGGACTGAGAGCTTAGGACAAAAAATAGAAGGGAAGCATAAAGAAGGGGAACTAAATGACAATCCATCTTCATAGCAGATTTTTCAAATAATTTAAACTAAATTTTGACCACAAAGAACATAAAATTTTGGAGACCAAAAATACAGTAATTTTAATAACAGTGCCCTATAAGTACATCATTTAAATTATTAAGAAAAACCCCTCAAAGGAATTGTTATAATTCTTAGGGTTATCAATGACCCCCACATAAGACCTCTGAAACATTTCCCTCAAAAACATTATGCCCAAGATTACCAATTTAGTAATGGAAAAATAATATAAGAAGTCTTCAGTTTAGAAACTATGAGGACGAGAATACAGCTTTTTATGGGAATTTAGAGGTGGTGATAAATGAGCTCACACTCTGGTGCGTTTAGGTTTCTGGAGAGAACTGTCATATGAATTTTAAACAACACAAAGTCCTAACTAGGGATAGTAACTTAATATAAGCTGTTAACGGGACACCCATAAGGTGTACAATACTATGCTTTATTTTAAAAGGCCATTCTCCAATAGTACCTGCTCCTTTGACCCCTCTATTTCTCTTAACCCAAGGCCTAATTATTATAATAATATGTTTTAGCTGAACTTTGTCTAATTAAAGAGCTTTGAAGAGACAGCTATTCTTGAGAAATATAAAAATAAACCCTTATGAAGGTTTACCATCAGAAGCTCATTTGGCCAAGCCAACCATTAATTAAAATGTCCAAGAGACATTTGTCTGGCAGTAAATACTAATTACCAGAACACATCAAAGAGCATCTTAAATACAACAGAATGATTAATTTAGTAATTTGCAAAATAAGTGATTTTCATTTATTTAAAAAACTCTTTATATTTCCTAAGTACTTTATTTTCTTAAAATGACTGGAAAGTTCTCAAAATTGTACACAGGCCAGGAGCTGGTGGAATGTAGCCCAATTCTGTTTTATCTCTACAGTGACACACTGGTTGTCCTTGGACAAATCATTTATACAGCCAATATCCACACCTCCTGATTTGGCAAGTAGGAAAAAATCTGTTATGTGCTATGACAAAGAAAAAATAGTATATTTGGGCATAAACTTTAATTGTGATTAAGAGTTGTCACATATAACTTGAAAGACGTAAAAAGCTATTTTTTCAATGTCTATGCAGTATCATACAGAGAATACTTAAGAATTTGGTTAATACATCCTAAGGTTTTTTGGGATTCCGTAGCACTTGAAAAGTGTATAAATCACTTGTCACTGTTACAAGGTTCTCATTAAAAGGTATTTATGATAGCACAGTGGATAAAACAGTTTGAAGTATACAGCATTTTTTTCCTAAAGGTACCTACAGTTATAAAAATAGAAAATATATACAAATCACTTTTTAAAAAGTGTTGGCTGCAAACATCAGATGTTTTCTCCTAGCCATTGTATTTGATGTTCATTCAAGTTTTCTCCTCTTTAGGAGCACTGTGCTCCTTTCCAAATATAAGACCATCTTAATGGCTCAATGTGATTCAAACTTTAGCCTTTCCAAATACAAGACCATCTTAATGGCTCAATGTGATTCCAACTTTAGCCTCTGCTTTTATTATTTCCCATCTTATTTCTTCCCCTTACCCCCTATCCTGTTAGTTTGCTTTCAGTATAAACCTACACAGTCTTGTGGGTATGCTGGGAGGCCTGCAGCCATTTTCAGTCCCTCCTGAAATTGCCTTCCAGCTGCATAAAGACAAACAGCTATTTTATGTTACATATACTCTATAGGCAGTAAGCAAAAATTCTTCAAGCTCAAATGTGATATTTTACTTTCAGTGAAGAAACCCAGCACAGTCGCCCAGACTGGACTTAACACCAAGTCACAGCATTTGAATAAACACTGGGGTATCAGAAAGGCGAATGAAACAAAGTGTCTCCTGAACCATATTTAAAGTAAAATATATTTTGAATCTTGTAAGAACAAACCCCAGCTGCAAGGAACTCTAAAGAGATGTTCTGCTTCTTACAAGCAGTTCAATGAGCCAGCTCTCCTAAATACTGGGCGAGATGCCACCTACATCTTCAGTCCCAAACAACCCACACTGAACTTAGGATCCTAGCTTCCTTTATGCACATATTCTCCCCTACCTCAGCCTAGAAAATCTTCAATTTGCATAAACTCCCTCATGGTTAAGTTCTTTTTCTCTATCAATTAACTACTTATCTATTTAGTTGCCACTGTACGTATCAGGCCAGTTTTAAGTTTTCTATATCACAACTTCACTGCAACCAATTCACCCTAGACAAGGATGAGGTAATAACTCTGTTAAAAAAAGAAAATGGTTCTGTTGTTTCAAGCTCTTACCAAAAGTAAGGAGTCTAAATTCTCTTTATACTTTCCAATTACAACAAACCACTTGGCGCTAGATTTATTTAATCTTTTTTAAAATCTGCTCTTTCTCACAAAATAAAAAGAACTTAGTGACACTAAGGGATTTCTGCATCTCGTAAGGCATATTATTAGAAGTAGAGAAAATGAATTCTGAAGTTTCATAAGTACTAGAACACCAGCACGTATAAAATTTGCTTCAGAATTTGCTGTTTGTAATTCTGTTCCAATCTGACCCAGGAAGAAAGAGCTTGTGATACATTTAGATTCTAATCTTTCAAAGAGTAAAAATATACCTCAAGCAAGTCTTACCTTCCCAGCCCAGCTTTACTGAAGCGTCAGAGGCATGCCACTAACAGAACAGTGGTGGGGAGCCAACATTTCTCTAAGTCAGTGTTCCACTATAAACAGACAGTATCTCCATTTGTCTGCCAGATCTACAATTCCTAACTAATCCAAAACACTAATTTAAAATGAAAATACCCTGACAGGAGGTCAAGCAACAGGGAAGAAACTTCATTTTTCACCATGAAGAAATAACCTAGTCTAGAATAGGGAAAGTGGCATATGTGCTAAGCTCAAGTAGCTACCTGAAGAAATTTCTGCCAATTCTAGATAATCATAGCAAGTGGTTCTTTGCTTTGCCACTCTGTTCTATAGTTTCTTTTCTACACCAGTGGAAATAATTCTTGTTTATCAAACAAATTCTTCTTTCCAAAAGAACCAGAACAAGGTCAAGATAATTAAGCTGCCCTATAACAGGTTAAAAGGAGTTTACTTTAATATCATACTGTCTCTAACTCTTGTAGGCCCCATGCTGCCAGACTAGAGTGAGAGGCTTATTTTGTTTCCCTTGCTAAGATTCCAGCTACCTCAAACCAAGCTTCTACTTGTTGCTGCTTCTTGCTACTACCCATTTTCTTCATTTTCCAGGTGTCCAGGCCAAAAATCTTGGTATCATCACTCTTTCTCACACATCACAAATCCAATCCCTTCAGCAACTCTTATTAACTCTACTATCAAAGCAGACCCAGGTTTCAATTTTTCCTTACCCCATCCCCATCCCACTATAGTGCCCCCAAGTCTAGTCCAAGAGCCATTATCTGCCTCCTGGATTATTGTTAATAGCCTTCTAATATTACTAACTAGTATACCTGTTTCTGCCCTTGGACTCCTGAAATCTATTCTCAAAACAACAGCCACTACTAGTAACAATTTTTTTTAGAAACTTTTTATTTTGAAATAATTACAGATTCACAGGAAGTTGCAAAGATAACACAGAGGTCCCATGTAACCTTCACCCAATTTCTCCCAATAGTTAAATCTTATAGGTCTTCAAACAACATCAGCTCTGACCTGGGTGGCTCAGTTGGTAGGGTATGGTTCCGCACAGCAGAAGGTCACTGGTTCAATTC